ACATGAAGGAACAGGCTAAAACAGCACATTGTGATAATAACTATGAAATGTACACACATTGCAGATTTCAAGTTAACTTTCATTTGCATTTGCAAATAGCATCACAGACCAAACAAATTATCAATTGGGTGCATCAAACAAACTTGAATTCAAGACTCAATTAACAGGAATTCATTTTACATCACATATCACATATTTGCACAGTATTTCTAATATGGTGCCCAAGCTGGTATTCTTATACCAGCAATTTTGCCATTATCTTGTATATTAATACAAATAACAAGCTAGGTTTTTATAGGATAGTGCTAATTGGTATTATGATTGCATTAGTGCTTCTCTTTTTGTTGCAAAGGAAAGAAAGGATTGTGATTGCCATTTTGATATTTTAAAAGTATGTATTTGATGGTGATCTAAAGAGAGAACACAGCCTCAGCATATAGAGAAAATTAAACACCTCTCAGTTTAAGCAGTCAGAGTATCCTTAGTTGTCTAACACTCATTGAACTCCTGCCTCTGAAGATGCTTTGGATATGTTACTGTTTACCAAGGCAATTACACAGATGAAGAGCTTCTACTTAAATCTCAAACCCTTGCTAACACCCTTATTGAAGAGTTTTTCTTTAACTTAATACATTTCTAATGAGTTTTCAATATACATACATATACAGTGGTACCTCAGTTCTCGAACTCATTAGAACTCGAATTTCTTAAATGTCGAACCAACCAGTTCGAAAAAAAAATTACCTAGAGCTTAATCTAAATCTCAGAATTCAAACCAAGAACGCCGACCAGATAACTTGTACGCGCGGGGAAATGAGTCACGCCGCACTCCCTCAGCGGAAACAAAGGGTAATGCTTCAGTCTCAGCCTCGCATTCCTGTGATAGCATCGTGCATGTTTACACTAACTGAATGCATATATTTAGACAGTAAAAATACATTTAGACAATGATAGACAGTAACAGTAATTATATAATAAAATACATTTAAAAATAAAGATTTCTTATTAATTATTTTCATATTAATAAAAAACCATTAATACGTTTAATTATAATAATATTGTTGTGCCGATCGGGGATGGAATGGAGACAAAGGCGCAGACGTCAGGGTATCGGGAATACGGGGTTTAATTACAGGTAAGGCAGGCAAAACGCAGACGGATAATACAATGACCGGACTATGGAAACAAACTGAAACGCGGATGAAATACAGAGGACTAATGACAACAACCAGAAACAGCTGATCACACGGGGATTCCACACAGGGTTAACGAGGGGGCGTGGCACAAGGAAGGAGCGGACGATTGGGGCAGGACACATTGTTTGGATACATTTATTTTCTTACTTTACAAATTACTGTTTTCATAAATGTGCTTAGATGTGTTTAGTACAGTATATGCTTTTCTTGTTTTATCTGGTTCATTTTGTGTTTAAATGCTTAAAAAAAACATATTTAGATGTAATTTTTTGGGGCCGGGAACCAATTAATTGGCTTTCCATTATTTCTTATGGGGAAAATTCGATCACAACTCAAACTTTTTAGGATTCGATCCGGAGTTCTGAACAGATTAAATTCGAGTTCTGAGGTACCACTGTACATTCACACTCAAACACACATTGGTCTACCTATCTAAATGGGGACCGTCCATTCATTTATATGGGAAAATCCCTAATCCCAATCACAACACCCTTAACCCCTAACCAGCCCTAACCTTAAGCATAAGTAACCAACCAAAAGACTTTTGGCACTTTTACTTTTTTGATTGCATTCACAGATTTTTATAAAATTGAGGTTATCCAAATGGGGACCTGAAAAAATGTCCCCAAAAGTAAGGAATTTTCAGGTTTTACCACACTCTTTGGACATTTTGGTAACCAAATGTGATCTATGCAAACCCACACATAAAGACACACACACACACACAGATACACTCAAAGTGATTTATTTTGGCAACCTTTAATCTTTATGCTTATTTAATGTAATCTGTCATCTTCCCTAAGCAGTATATCACATATAAATTGAATTTGGTGCAGACACCTTTGTTAACTACATTATTTGAAAATTATTTTTATATTGGCCAAATTTTATATAGTTTTGTCCATCCATCCATCTTTCAGAAACTGTTTGTTTAGCACACAGTATTGCTGAGCTGAAGCATGTTACATACTAGAGACATTGTCTGTGGTAGGTAGCTGGAGAACTGGAGGAAAACCACAGGAATACGGAGAAAACAAAGCAGCCCAACACACCACAGGGGCCGCAAACAAACAACCTGAGAGGCAGCTCCCTTTGAATCATTTTCTGCTGTCTATAAATAGCGACGGCATTACCTTTTAACGCGCCATTCCGGTGGCCTGAGGTAAATCAGTGAGGTAGGAGCATCAGGTACGCTTTGCCTTTCATTCATTTTAATCACAAGTTGTGTGTAAAATTAAGTCAGACTATTATTTTTCTCTTAGTCCACTGTGAAATCTAAACGTCCCTTTGGGTTTCAATTATGGCTATTAGTGTCAACGAGATAATTAGTAGTGCAATTACATTTTAAATAGTTTTGACCATTGTTTGGCTTAGGCTGTTAGCCCCTGTTTCATTGAAATACTGTGCATGGTTTATGTTCATCAATATGAAACACTGCGCTTCGCCATAGCTCATTAAATGACTACTGCCATCTACTGAGGACCAACGTGATAAACCTGCACGAGCCAGTCCCAGTGGACCATTACATCTCTTTTCTTATTCATTACACACCTTTTTGAAGTCTGGATTTTACTGTATACAGTATACAATGCACAGAATGTGATGCAAGTTTGAAACTTCCCGCAAGAATCAATAATATGCCTTTGAGAAAACGTTGGAGTTGTTAACCCTGAAAGACTATGTTTGTGGAAATAAATTATACTGTGTTTTGTTATTGACCTGCTCTTTCCAATATTATCACGAGAACCTATTTTTAGAAGATTGTGCCTTTCTTATCCTGTGGCTTTGCACAATAGCAGGCCATTTATAGTATTGGCACCACTCCATGAAATGGATTAAGCACCGGAGATCAAATAACGCTAGCTTTTGAGTAAACCGGCTGTGTGTCCAGCACAGAGGAATGTAAGAGGTTGCTTAGGAACATTTCTCCACACCTCAGTCATGCAGAACTTATGGGGTAACAAGGCGCTGGGCCATGTCTGTGAAATATTATTACTGAGGCACCAGAACAGAGCATAAGGTGAGGTCTGATGTATGGTGACCTACAATTAACAAGTAATTATATAATGTATATTATAACCAAAATGAGATTAGATTATTTTGGTGATGTGGGAGATAATGAGATAAATGTCCTGGTATAGTGCTATTCTACAGATAGAAAAATATATTTTTGCGATATTTAGTTATTGATTATCCTTCGCATTCATTGTTAATTGTAATGATTCATAATAATTTACATAAATTTAGGAGGAACAATGAGATCATAAGTTTCTCTGCAAATTTTTATGATTTCAAATGTAATCTATATATTTCCAGAAATAATTAAATTATCGATACATGTCTGTATCTTTCTTCAGTTTTAATTTTCTTTATATTATTTAAAATAGCCTACGGCCATCCGTGTTTATGGTAACTCAGCTATTTTTTTCACCATAATGGGTAATGAGTTTTGATACTCTTTCACAGACCGATTTCATTGATATGATGTTTAAGAAACAGCTACATGTTGATTCTCCTCAATGCAATACTTGATTACAGTTTCCAATAATTGCTATTGCTATTTAAATATGCTTTAAAATTGTCATAATGATACTTTGGAAAAAAAATTGCTTGGTCTTTTTGGGTTGTGCAGGATACACAACAAGTTTTTTTCTCATTTAAAATGATGGAGGTGATGTTTGGTGATTTTCAGAAACGAATCAGTAACTCAAATAGGGGGAAACAATACAATATTGTGATTTTTATTTTAGTTATTTAATATAATGATCTGATCTAATCAACCAAACTATGTACAAATATAGTACATTATCGCCACCTACTGAACCACAATTTTAGCAGCGCTACAAGTGCAAATATATCCTCTACTGGCCGTAGAGTTTCAATATCATTTATCTGCATTACTGCCCCCTGTTGTAAAACAGTAAAATCGAATTTATGAACAGAACTGTAGCCCAAATACACATATTAATGTATGATATAAAACAAAAATGTTTACAGGCAAATATATAAGCCTAGTCATTTACTAAATCACCAAAAGCGATAAAAAAAATAAAGCAAGAACCCATGAAAAACGTGAACTGCATAAGATGTAACTAAGTAAATCTCAACTGCAATTTTAAGAAAACGAACACAATTTTATTACTGTAAATTAAAGCTATGACAAAATAGTAATAACAAGTTTTTAGAGTACAGCTTTCGACAGTTGTTTCTTGAAAAAAAAATATGTAGAAAGAAGATATTTATTTAAATATATTTGAAAGCAATTACAAAAATACCGACTTCATGCATGCAATATCGGCATCGGTCACACCAGTCATCACATTTTAAGATGTCATCGTAACGTAGGACTATTTTTTAAATATTGTGCATTCTTATTTTATTTCTCTAGTGAATAGTCAAATCATACGACGAAGGTGATGTGATGGATATCGAATTTCATATTCATATTTGGTTCATATGCAGATGAGTCTTTCTGTACAATGAAACATACTGGGATATACCTGCTTCTTCTCATTTGGAATCACTGGCAAATTGGTCAATAGTCATTAGTTGGCGCCCCGCTTTTGAAAGTGGTGTCAGAAAAGAACCGAGGTTCTCTTTGATAACGTGAATAGGTAAAGCAACTACATTACATTTTCCACCATGTTGGCTCTAACTATATGGGACTTGTGTGCACGAAGCTCTTAGAGCGAGAACCAAAATGGCGTCAGTTTCCTCATCAGTGTGCCCATTCTGTAACTAGCTCGCTGACCACAATCGACGTGCAATGCGTGCGGGAAAAGTTACGTACATGTCCCAGAATGCAGTCCGGTAAACAGGCATGGAAGCACCTGGTTGAGACCTCTACTATCAGTAAAACGTTAAATTAGATCTTTATTTTCAGTATTCAGTATTATATTGTCCGCTACATTCTGCGAATAAGGAGCGACGGGAAAATATAGTCCCTTTGACAAAGTTCTGCAATCAGGTAAGGTGTTAGCAGTTAATGACTGATTACCCAAAGCTAGCTAGCTCAGCGGCAGTGTTGTTCGGCTTATCGTTATTGGTTATGTTCCAAGCTAGGTCTATAACCACAATAAAATTATGCACTTTTCAGGATAAAACCAACAAAGGTACTTAAGCCGCCTCTTTTGGCATGTTTGTTTGATAGAGCTTTGCCATTATTTGAGGACTTTTTAGATGACTTAGCCAATAGGAGTATAAATCAATGTTAGACTTCTCACTAGCATTGACATCTAAGAAATGCATTATATGCTACCCTCAAATTCAAAGTTATGTTTTTTTCAAAATGTCTGCAATGGAATATGTATGACCATTCAAACACATGGTACACATTCTTGACGTCACTTCATAATTTGTGATGGTTGACAGTAAAAGAATTCTCGGTGAACTTTTGCGAATTTTTATATTGACTGTATCAATTTGTAATGTGATAATTAAGACAGCTTACTTAAAATATGTTTCGACTAATCAGTAATTTTCATAAACAAGCTACCATTGATTCAGTTTCGCTGTACTACGTAATCATTATGACCAAAGCAGTTGTTTGCTTGAAGGAACCTTCGAAATCTGCTTTGTGAAAAACAGTTGTTTAGATTAATTTGTATAATAAGGGCGTATTGAACTGTGAACGTTAGTATATTTTGTGGTTAACAGTGGATACGACATATCGGATTGGATTGCTGGTTCTTGCTTAAGTGACCAAGCAGCCCTGTGATCTCTGTGGCCAGGTTTATTCAGAACAGGCAGGTTGTCTGTAACAAATGAATAGAATTAATCCCTAAATAACAATGAATTATTTGAATCTTTCCTACATTCTTTGTTTGATACTGTATTAGTTTAACCTGACTACTTTTGCTGGTGGTGATCATTTAGCAAATTCATTACTTATTAAACTGAGCTTGAAGGTCACCATAATTTAACAGCTCCTTACACTGATGATTTTATTATTTCAAACACAGATTGGACTGTTGTTAGATCTGACATGACTTCATCTGTTTATAGCTGTTTCCATCATGTGTCATATTGCTGTTTAATGTTTCTTTAATTGATTCTAAATTTGATGAAATCTTTGCAAAATACCACAGCTGCCTTCTCCCCCCAGTTAAATTACACCATAGAATAAAAACCAAAAATGCAGCATCAGCATTTCTCAACTGGGAAGACACTAATTAGCCTTGGAGGGCATGAAACCATGTCCACTGAGCTTGGACCAGGCTAAGGGTGTGTGACAGCACAGAACACCACATGCAGCAATTCTAGATCGGATTGACGGAGATCTACAGCTTTGCTCGCGTTTCAGAAATATTGCAGAATGTTTTTTTTTATTTGAGATGAATATTGTTATCATTGCCAGTGAACATAGGCCTATTATACATTCAACAAATTCATATATATTTAAGAACTTTTCTTGGTTCAGTTATATGTTCAGTTGATCTCATGTTGAAGCCACCCTGTGATTTTTTTTTTTTTTAGCTTAATGAACATAATGACTTTATTTTTAGTTCATAGTGCTATTGTATAGCCACTTCACTGTACTGGATGTGCTGGAATGGTATGCAGGGTGTACTTTGGCTGGTGCCCTGCCCATAAACATGGTTGATGAAGTATGTATGGATGGGTATTATTAGTGACGATGATAAGGATAATTATCATGTTCATATCATGTCTTAAAGAAGTATAGTGTCTGTACACTTAGAAGCCTCTGTTCATTGACTATGTTCAGCAAACTATTATCATTATTATTATCCAGTAACCAATTTATATATTAAAATGTAATCATCTTGGTGATTTTCAGTGGATTTTATATTGGAATTCTCGGGACTGTAATTAAAAGCACTATAATATATTATAGCTTAATTCATTCCCTGTATAGCGTCTCCGTGTTGGAATTTGCTTTTGTAGTTCACTTTCATCTTTGCACTCTTCCATTGCCACTTTAGCTCTGACTAATAGAATTACGAGTTTATACAGGCTACTGATTGACGGTGGGCATGGAAACATGTTACCGGCGACCAGTTAACGAACGAGAAATAATGAAATTTAAAATAAAATGTTTTAGTAAATCGACGTGTTCCGCAAACTGCATCTTAGACATGCGTGTTCTTGAGGAAAGTTAGCTTTTATTTCAAACTTTTTATTAATGTCTTGGACCAGTTGTTGTTTTATGGCACTTCTCTGTGAAGAGGCATTGCTTGAAAAACTGTCCTTTTCACATGTAAATCTTAATTCTCGCACCGAGTCCAAGGCGCTGCTAGATGCTATTGGTTTAAATGGACGCTAATGTAAAATGTGGATCGTTTACCCTAAACGCCCCCGATTTGCGCCGCATTTGTGAAGTTGGCTTGGCTTCGCAGGTGAGTCCCCTAAAGTTTCACCGCGTCAGTACACGATCGTGCGCCGCACACTGCGCGATGCGCCTCGGCGGCGGTGTCATTTGTCAAAGCGGCCGCGACATCCGAACACCGGCCGCCTTACGACTCGCCGACGTCCGAGCGGCGCAAATGGGGGCGGCGGGTGGTGTGGTGTTAGTGGGTGGCGGTGGGGCGGGGGACGCTGTTTACGCGGCATCAATCGGTCCAGCGGGATCCCTTGTTAACCAGCTGGAGCGCAGATCGCCGTTTTGTTACATTGTAGCGGAAAGAATGTCGGAAAGGGCCGACGATGACGTCAGGGGGGAGCAGCGCAGAGCCGCCAGGCAGCCAAAGCAGCAACAGCAGCAGCAGCAGCAAATCCAACAGGGAGAAGGATCCACAGCAATGGCGACCGTGGGGGAGCGCAGATCTCTTCCCAGTCCCGAGATCGCATTGGGACAGCCCTGGAGCGAATGGATTGATGCTGCTAAATTGTACGGGAGCGACGGTGAGTTGCCTGCATTTCAAACCGAACCATCTTAACGAGCACGGCTGATCACGATTTTTCTCTTTTAGATAACGTGCAGTTTGAAGATACGCGAAACGCCAGAGACGAATAGTGCGGCACCAGCAAGTGTAAGCTAACTATTCCTCTGTGTCACCCGTTCAGGTGCCGAATCCGAAGAAAGTTTGAAAGAGTGCGGGAAAAATCGCGAAGCAATGAGGCTTTGCAGAGATGGTGAGCGTTTTCTGTTTTTCTTCCTGATTATTTGTATGAAGCTGTTTACTTTTGCGGATTTTTGTATGGAAAGACCTACTGGCTGGGGGGGAAAACGCTGCGTTCACTTTGAAGCAAGTGCATTAGTTGAGCCAGGGGTGGCAGAATGGGCCTAGAGCGATGAACCTGATCTACGCAGCTGGGACAGCATTTAAATGTAGGGAAATGCACGCGCACTTCTGGAAACAAAGGCATGCAACTTCGAACACGCCAGTGGGGATGAGCGCTCTGGGGTAATATTATTAGGCTGTGTTGTTTACTTTGAAGATGAGCCCCTGACTTGTTAGAGATACGATTTCAAATGTAAAATTGGTGCAGTGCTGCCGGTTGACAGTATTTACAGATAAAAGAGCTGCGTTGATGTAAGCTTTACTGGGCTTCTGCATGAGCTGTCACCTATAGTGTCACTAGGCCAGGTGTAACCGCTGGTGCACGCTGGCTTGCATGTATTTCAGCATTGCACATTTAATATGAATTTAGAGTATTTTTGGATATGACAGTGTAACACAACAGTTTTTTTGCAATTCTGAGAACGTGTCGTCTTTTATAGTAATTTTTGCATGGTCTTTTTACATACTCGACTGCATTATGTGCACCTAATAAACCATAAACTAACTGTAACCATCATACCAAGTGCACTGCAGTTAGTCAAAGCTTTCTGTTTTGTATCTGTTCACAGTAACTTTTTATTTAGACTTGGTAGCTTTGTTGTTGGGGGTTTGGTTGCCTTTCTGTTCATTAACATACGGCGCTTAAAAGTCCCTAAGCAGCTGCAGGCCCAGTCTCCCGTCCAAGTCATACCGTATATTTAAATAATGCCGTCTTGGAATTCGGAGCCAGCTGAGGGGACCGAACCTCTTGGGACGGAACGGTGAGACTGTGGTACACAAAGCTGACTTGCATTACAGAAACCAGAAAAAGCCGGGAAGCTGCAGTCTCCTCCGAGCGGGACTCGGCATGTCAATGTGCCTCCGCGGAATCTGGTGATGGCAGAGTTTTGTGTCGGTCTGTGTCGTGACCCTTGGAGTGCTGGTGTTTAAGGTTTTGGTGCTTATGATGGACGCAAGACAATGTGACATCTTTAGGTTTTCATGTGAATTGTAGTTGTCAGTTGGCTTAGTAGGTTAGGTGTTCGATCCCTGACTCTGTGTATGACCTGATTGCTTGTTTTACATGGGCTTCCTCCAAGTCCTTTGTGTTTCTTCTGTAATCTAAAACATCCAGTTAGCTAAGTTGTTGACTAAATTACCAATTGTGTGTGTGTCCTGCGATGGGCTTCATCCTGCCTTATTCCCTCCGCTACGTGGGGTCGACTACAGAATCACCACAGCCCTGTGCCGGATAAACACTTATGGAGAACTGACGCATGGATCTAAGGTGAAGCTTCTCAACTGAACGTAACCAAAGGTATCCGACCATGGATTGAATCCTTTAAATCATGACAGAACGTTTTGTTTAACACCACTGGAACCTAGAATGGCACCTTCAGAAGATGAGCACACAAATACACCACCTGGAATTGCTATGGAAGTCTTGAGAAGTCCTGCTTCACAAGGAGGTCGCTGTCAGTGACTTTCTTTATGGACTCCTGGGAAGGATGCCGTGTTTTGGGACGTCAGTATCAGAAGCCAGGCTGTACATACAGTATCATGTCGAACATGGTAACGTTTATGCTGTTTAAGCCAATCGTCCGAAGAGCCTCACCAAAGCCCCACAGGAAATCTTATTTTCTGTCAACACCCCCCACCCCTGAACCTCTGTAAATTGGAAATGGGGAATAAGATCAGGTGGAACTGGGATGATCAACACTGAAACCGCTGAACATATAACAAACCCTGAACTCTCATATTGTTTTAATGTGCCGGAAAAGAGACTGACATGAGAGCTGTGGATGCATCCATCCTGGATTTGGGGTGAAAGGTGTTATGAGGAATTCCTTCCTGCAGTGCCTTCTGGGACTGTTCACTGAAAACCCTTTTCTCCAGATTGACCTTCACCCTGGTAGTCGTCATCACAAGGCACCCAAGAATGATCCACCCCTGAATGTGCAGGAATGCACATCATGTTCCTCTCTGGATTCTAGTGGAACTGGCGTCGGTCTGGGAATATGCTGGGAGCTGGGGAGGCACCTTTGCAGAATGTTATACTGCCTCTGAAGCTCCGGAGTCCAGTGGATTGACCAGAGGGTTGCAGATTAAATTCAGGGATAGCCAGGCTGACCCCCCTGTGGTCTCTATCGGCCCAGTAGTGGATGAAAGGCAGTCGTTTACTGTCTTCTGATATTGTCAAAGTTGCTGCAATGAAAAATATTAGCCAGATGAGTGGACAGTTCTTTTTGTGGTCCATATCTGCATGGAATGTCGCCTCTGTTTCCTTTACGAAGAAGATGGTCGAAAATCAGCTGCTGCATATGTAATATGCGCACTACTTGCAATTACACAAAATCACAAATCTGAATATCATCTTCTGTTACCTGTCTAACAGCTAAAAGTCAGGAAAAGGGGGAGCCCTGTAATAAAAGTCTGCTTTTAGCACCTTAATCAACGTGAAATGAGAAGGAACTGTACAGTGGCTTAGCGGTGGCTAGGTGGCGCGCTGCCCCCGGTGGCCAGGTCAGGTTTGCGGTTCTGTGCAGCATTCACCGGGCCTGCTGCGTGCTGCTTCACAGCTGCTGTTTTTGTCAGACACTGTGCTTCCCTCTCAAAGCCCTTCCAGGCCTGACGAGGCGCCGGAGGTGATACGCTGGGCAGGGGGCCGGTGTGGAGCTGCTTCAGGGTTTTATTAGAACCAGTAAAATGTCAATATCTCAGAAAACATAAATTCTAAGGTACTTCTGCATTTAATATTTTGGATTTCCTTTTTAATGATAAAAGGCTGTAGAATGTGTTCTGTAGAGTGTGTGTGTGCGCGCGTTCGCACTTACATGCATGTCAATATGTTTACATATATAATGTAATGTAATTGACTGGCTCCAGGGAGGTCGGGACGAGGACAGGAGTGGTGATGAGTTTAATAAAAACAGCAGGTAGGAAAAGAATTGGCAGTTTTGGCATCAGCACTAGGAAAATGGTCACACAAGACCCAAGAGGGGTATGGGGTTGGTGAAGGTCACAGATGGGTGTGGGGTCATGCATTGTATGGCTGTAGCAGTACACATATTCGCTTTGTCCAGTTCGGTACATTTTTTGTTGGTTCGGTGGGTATATATTCGAACCCGGATATATGTTGTTGGAAACGCATCTAATGTGCTAATTCGCTGGAGACGATGTCATTCGAATGTGTGTACAACTGGAGCAAAGGCAGAAACAGCCTCTACAAGTTGGTCTTCCTAAGGGATTTAAGGCGTTTTTGCCAGGAAATTCGGACCTGGCTAACAAAATAATTATGGCTTAAAGTGATGTTTATTGCTACAGATATGCAACCACGCTCAGTAGAAAATAGGATTTAGATGAGATTTAATTCATTATGATTATGATGTTATATTTTAGATTTTTAAATTTTACATATTAATTTTTACAATGTACTAATAAATGTCTCTTACATTTTATTCAGACACTGACAGATGCATTGCTTTGGTTTACAACTGTTCCTAGTTGATTTGCAGTGTTAATAATGATCTGGGAAGATTTTTTTCCCTGCTGTGCAAAAGTTGCACTGAACAGTGAACCTAAAACCAGGCTGCTGTGAATTTTGTGTGCCGTTGCACCTCTAATGCATTGGGGTCTGGTACACGGTGCACTAGTCGGGGCATGAGGAATGGAAACCTCAGGGTTGCATAATGATTGAGAATACCTCCCCAGGGGAACTACGTGAATGTGCTGGATGTACATGTGGTCTCCTGAAAGGCAGGTGCAAAGCTTGAGATTGATGCCAGGTGGAAGGGGACATCAAGACCATAATGTCTTTTTGGTGTGTTATGTCTGACTATCACCTTAAATTCAGGCTTATCTTAATTTCAGTAGTGTCTTGTCAGTGAAGCTGGTTTGGCCTTACAAGATTGTTACATCCACTTGGGTGAAGGTGAAAGCCAGAGTATCTGAGAGACGCTGGTAGCATCCTTTGTGGGAGGTGTTTCAGGATATGGCGAAAGCAGCATTTGCCTGGGGGCATTCTGTGGTCTATTATACCGAGCTGCCCCAACATCAGCCCGTAATCTGCTTCACGATGTATTTCATCCCAAGTACATTCAGCAAGCTGTAAATTTGTCACCTGCCCCTCTCATTATGTCGTTGTTATATCGGCGATTAAGGTTCCACAAAATTTCTGCCTCCCTGGTAGCCCTTCAGGCAGGCGTTCTTCAGATTTTTGTAGTTCGAAATGAATTTTGACTAGCTGGATGAAGACCATTTAAAAAAATATATATGCTGGAGAATGTGTAATAAAAAAATTAAAGAATTTGTTGTGGAAGCATATTTTAAAGGCCATTTTTGTCATTTCACATTACCAGCCACTATATGACAGAGGCAACATTAACTGGGCACCAACAATAACTATGGGATGGAGTAGTCTGTCAGTATCACGGACATCAGGAGTGGAGAGCAAAAAGAAACTCAAATAGTCCTTTCAGCCAAATGAAATCCAGTGATAAATCGATCAACAATTTACCTTTAAAACACATTCACTTATGTACGATCAATCCAGATATTTTGTAATAATGACAACAAGCACAGCACTGTAACATTAACATTAAAGCACAGAGCAACGTAATCGCTTAACGTGACGAAAATATAACGAAGACATATAACAAATGATGAATAAGCTCGAGATTTATAGTTGTACTTACCCCTGAATACAACAAAATATTTTGTCCACGCTTTTCCCCTCAGTTACCCAGCCAGAAATACAGAAATTAAACCTCCAGACTTATCTGCTTTCTTTTGCTTCACTGTTAGCCATTACATTTAAAAAATCAGACAATTAACAATATCCTCATTAATGAAAACAGGCGGCTCACAACCATT